TGAGATTTATTGGGATTTTGGTGATTAAACTGGGATTGATTGGGGTTAAACTGAGATGGGATTAAATTGGGGATTTATTGGATTTAGGGATTATATTCTCCTACGTGGGGATTTATTTATGGTGGATGGTGTTAAGGCCAGTTTTCTGTTTAATTAGGGATTCTTTAAGGATTTCGTAGGGATTAATTCGTCTTGTTGATTTACATCAGGATTAATGATAAGGATCAGTTCTTATTTCTGTGGCTTACAGATCTGGATTATTGTTGATTTATTCTCCTGTTGTGGGATTATCTCTCCATTAAGGATTATAGGAATTTGCAGATTAATTCTCCGTGTTGTGGATTTACACGAAACACCACCGATAAGAGAAGCAGTTTCCATTAGGACAACAAACCGCTCTGCCTGTGTGTGTGTGTGTGTGTGTGTGTTCGTTCGTTCGTTCGTTTGTATTTTATGTGTACGTGTGTTCGTCTTGTATTTTATGTGTACGCTGTATGTAAGTATGTATGTATGCTGCTTTCTGTATGTGTGTGTACTGTATGTTTTAGGTGAGTATTTTTCTACGTAGGAATGTATGCGTGTGTATGTATGCTGTGTGTATATGGACGTGTATTTTGCTAAGTCACATTCAGTATTATTCTCTCCCTTTATTGAGAACATTTGTATAATAATTTATTCAGATTTTGTTGACTAGAACACTGAATGTATGAATAAATGTATGTTTGATGTATATTTTAACTAACGAATGTATACACAGAGGAGTGTATATGTATTTTTCATTCGTATTCAGGGATAGAAGAAAATTAGATAATGTTTTTGTTTTGGGTAGATGAACCTCTCTCTCTCTGGTATTTTATTTCAACTAAAAATAAGAAAATTATCCTCATTATTTTATTTATTTTATTTTAAGGTTTAGGATATTTGTTCTCCACGTAGTTTGTTGACAGTCCAAAAATAATGTATAGTATTTTATTATTATTATTATTATTATTATTATTATTATTCAGTGTTTTATTATTTATTTTATTTAATTCAATTATCTTCCTAAAAATTAATAAATAAAACAAATTATTTTATTCCGAGTTATTATTTTGTTATCATTTTATACAACTTGTTCTAACATTTTGATTTATTGCATTTTTAGTTGTCAGTTTTAATTCGTATCTTCATAAAAAGCAAAAAATATTTACTTTTTATTTTTAACGTGTCAGTGTTTGTTGTTTATATTTGGTGGTAGTATTTATGAGTTTTATGGGTGTGTGATGATTGTGATGTGTTATGGTGTGATGGTGGTGAGGTTATGGTGTGATGGTGATGAGTGTTATGGTGTGATGGTGGTGGTGATTGTGATAAGTGAGGGTGTGGTGATGTTGTTGAGAGTGTGATATGATGGTGAGGTATGGTGTGTTGTGGTGAGAGTGTGGTAGTATAAGGAACGAGAGAGAGAGAGAGAGAGAAGAGAGAGAGAGATCGTGACTAAGTACCCAATATAGATTAAGACTCTTATCGCCTCCAGCTCTATCTTATTATGGTTTTCTACCCCGTCATCACTATCACCATCATCATCACCATCACTTTCACCATCATTATCACCAACATAACATCTTCACCATCACCATCATTATATCTTCACCATCATAACATCTTCACCATCATCATCACTATCACCATCACCATCATAACATCTTCACCATCATCATCACCATCACCATCATAACATCTTCACCATCATCATCACCATCATCACCATCATCATCATCTTCACCATCATCATCACCACCCCTCCGTCCTACCCCACTTTTAACTTGTCTTCCCCAGTGAGGTTTATGTTTGGCTGGTCATCTGCGGGAGGACGCCACCGGAACTCGTTGATTGGTTGAGGGCATATGACGTCAAGGCAAATTGGTTGAGAGATGAATGATGTTAGGAATTGATTGGTTAGATGATAAATGATGTTAAGAAAGCCGATTGGTTGAGTGATGAATGACGTCAAGGAGCTGATTGGTTGAATGTTGGCGAACGTTGAGAATTGATTGGTTGGGTGTTGAATGACGTCAAGAGAGCTGATTGGTTGAGTGTTGAATGATATTATGGAATTGTTTGTTTGGGTGTTGAATGACGTCAAGGAGCTGATTGTTTGAGCGGTGAATGACGTTAAAGCAACGAGGATTGATTTGTTGGCTAATGAGATGAGAACTCCAAATATACTAATGGTATATTCGACGGGAGCACTGTGATTGGTTGTTTGTCTAATGGACACCAAAAACTCTTCTCATTGGTCGGTTGATGAGTGACGGGGTGGAAAGTTTGATAGGTCGTATAGAGAGGGACAGAATCTTCTTATTGGGCGATTGATGAATGACGTCAAAGGAAAGTCTCTGATTGGTCGCTCACCTGTTCAGGACCAGAGGAACCATCTCATTGGGCGTTGTTGAATGACGTCAATGGGAACTCTCTTGATTGGCTGAACGTGAATGAAGACTTAACAGTGCTATTGGTGTGTTATTATCACGTAATTTAGCTGAGGTATTTTGTTAGAAGTTTTCAGTGGCAGGGTAATTACGTCGTTAATTAAATGACTAGTTACCCTGTGATTACCTTACCTGAAGTGGCAGGTGGATGTGGGTGGTTTTGGATGGACATATACTTAGATTATACTTTATTAATTATTACCACCTGTCACCTCCCTAACACAAGGCTGTTATTTTATGCTGAAGTGATATGTATTGACGTGTGGGTGATTAATAACAGTGTTAAGTGTAATGTTACCACTGGGGTGAATGTGTGTAATGGTGAACGTATTACAGAGTGTTATGTAATGGTGACCGTATTACAGGAATGTTATGTAATGGTGACCGTATTACAGAGAGTGATGTAATGGTGACCGTATTACAGAATGTTATGTAATGATGAACGTATTACAGAGTGTTATGTATTGATGACCGTATTACAGAGTGTTATGTAATGATGAATGTACAGAATATTATGTAATGATGAACGTATTACAGAATATTATGTAATGATGAACGTATTGCCAATGACATGTAATAAACATATTACAGATCGGATTACAGACTTACGTAACGGTCAACGTACTGCTAACTGTTATATAATGATGAACGTATTACAGGCTGTTATGTAATGATGAACGTATACAGGCTGTTATGTAATGATGAACGTATTACAGGCTATTATGTAATGATGAACGTATTACAGGCTATTATGTAATGATGAACGTATTACAGGCTGTTATGTAATGATGAACGTATTACAGGCTATTATAATGATGAACGTATACAGGCTGTTATGTAATGATGAACGTATTACGGCTGTTATGTAATGATGAACGTATTACAGGCTGTTATGTAATGATGAACGTATTACAGGCTGTTATGTAATGATGAACGTATTACAGGCTGTTATGTAATGATGAACGTATTACAGGCTGTTATGTAATGATGAACGTACAGGCTGTTATGTAATGATGAACGTATTACAGGCTGTTATGTAATGATGAACGTATTACAGGCTGTTATGTAATGATGAACGGTATTACAGGTTGTTATGTAAAGGTGATACAGTAGTCTCAGCCTAAATTTGACACCATTACATCTACCAATTAACTGAACCACCAATCAATATCAATTAAAATATTCACCAATCACCAATCAGGGGAAATAACCACCTTACGAGGCTTTTAGAATACCTCTCTCCTGACCCTTAGGCACACACGAGAGAGAAAGAGAGAGAGATAGAAGGAAAAGGGAGAGAGAGGAGGGGAGGATGGAAAGGAGAGAAAGAGGAGGAGGAGGAGGGAAGAGAAAGATATAGTAGGAGGATGAAGAGGGGAGAGAAAGAGGAGGAGAGAGAGAGAGAGAGAGAGAGAGAGAGAGAGAGAGAGAGAGAGAGAGAGAGAGAGAGAGAGAGAGAGAGATCCAACAGGTAAAACAATGATTAATTAAGTAGTTTGTAAACACGCTTGGGAACACAGGTAAATGCCACACACACCTGACTCACCATCAAACGGTAATAACACTTCATTAACATTGTCATTTCTTTTATCTCCTGAAACATACACAACAATACAACCAATTTTTGTGTTTATGCATGGAGGTAGGTGTGTGTGTGTGTGTGTGTGTGTGTGTGTGTGTGTGTGTGTGTGTGTGTGTGTGTGCGTGTGTGTGTGTGTGTGTGTGTGTGTGTGTGTGTGTGTGTGCGTGCGTGCGTGGTGCGTGCGTGTGTGTGTGTGTGTGTGTGTGTGTGTGTAGTGGGGAAATGGGATAGTGGTGTGATCCAGTCAAGATAGATAGATAGATAGATAGATAGATAATTAGACAAAGATAGACAGACAGACAGACAGACGGACACAGACAGATTGATGGACAGACAGACAGAGTTGATCTACCATCTTACATGCCTCAGTAAATTAATTGAGGAGTCGTGTTTGACAGGACAAACATCCTCACCTGAAAGATACATCACCACTCAATCAGTCAGTCAGTTAATCAGTTAGATAGGTTAGGTGAGGTGAGGTTGGGTTTCGGTTCGGGATTAGAGTTAGGTTAGGTTAGGTTAGGTTAGCAGGTTAGGTTAGGATAGGATAGAATAGGATAGGTTGGAGGTTTTTCCAAGTACTTATATAGTTACGTGTTTTGGTAAATTCCTTTCAGTTTTCTCTGAGCGTCGTGGTAATGTCTCCCTCGTGTAAGATGTTTGACAGAGGCATTCTTATATTATTAATAAAATTATTGTAAATGACGACGTTCTTAATTGCAATGTTATAGTAGGTTGATATCTTGGTCTTCCTTTCTACTGGCTGGCATTTCATTCGTGTGTGTGTGTGTGTTAGGACATTACTAGGACCATTGTGGTACACATATGGGTCACTGATACACTATGGAACGCAATGATACACTTATGGAGCACTGATACACTTATGGAACACAAGATACACTTATAGACACTGATACTTATAGAACTTACACAGATACACTTAATAGGTACACGTCTGGAACACTGATACACTTATGGAACACAGATACACTTATGGAGCACTGATACACTTATGGAACACAGATACTACACTTATCGAACACAGATACACTTATGGAACACTGATTACACTCATGGAGCACTGATACTTATGGAACACAGATACACTTATGGAACACAGACATATGGATCACTGATACACTCATGGAGCATGATACACTTATGGAACACAGATACACTTATGGAACACAGATACACACTTAATAGGTACACGTCTGGAACACTGATACGCGATAAACATGTGGAACACTGATACACTTATGGAGCACTGATGCACTTGTGGAGCACTGATACACTTATGGGTACAGATACACTTAATAGGTACACGTCTGGAACACTGATACACTTATGGAACACAGATACACTTATCGAACACAGATACACTTATGGAACACTGATACACTCACTTAGACTGCTGATACACTTATGGAACACAGATACATATGGAACACAGATACACTTAATAGGTACACGTCTGGAACACTGATGCACTGATAAGCATGGAACACTGATACACTTATAGACATGATACATATGAACTGATACATATGGAACGCTGATACACTTATGGAGCACTGATGCACTTATAGACGCTGATGCCTTATGGAGCACTGATACACTTGTAGACACGCTGATACCCTTATGGAACTGATACACTTATGGAACACAAGATACACTTAATAGGTACACCTCTGGAACACTGATACACTTCTGGAACACGATTAGGACACACACTTGGACCGCCTAATTACCACATCATCTTGACTGCTCCACTCGGCTTGTGTTTGTAGTCAGTCATACAACTGCAAAGTAATTCCTGGGAGATAGTGGGGTGGTTGGGTCGTTAAGGAGACAAAAGCAGCAGCTGGCTGCGATGGAGTAATTCTTGGTAAGTCACGACCTCCTTGTGTGCCTGCCGTAACGACCTGCACGCCTCAGGTGCCTGTTGGTGGGGGTCGTGGGGCGTATGGTGATGGTCGTGTGTTGAGAGGAGTGGAGAAGTTGGGAGGGTGGAGGGCGATGGTGAGTGGAGGGGGGTTGTGTTGGTGGAGGGAGGTCGTGTGTGGGGGAGAGGAGGGCTGATGTGGTGGTGGAGGGGGGTTGTGTTGGGGAGCTCGTATTTGTTTTGTTTGCTGCAGAGTGTGTGTGTGTGTGTGTGTGTGTGTGTGTGTGTGTGTGTGTGTGTGCATGTGTGTGTAATATGTAATATGTAATTAACGGTTTTATTGAATTCTTGTGAGAGCACAATATACATTGGACATAAATGACTTATTACACATACATTGGTGGTTTTTAACAAAAGCCTTCATTAGAGAAAGGTGAAGGAACATACAGTGAACATACAAGATTAATGTAGGTGTTGAACAGCAAACTCGTAGTGCTATTAACTCCCTCCCAGATAGTGCTGGGGAGAACTCACGTGGTGTAAGTAGTTCCCTCAGATGGTGTTATGAGGGACCTCACGTGGTGTAGTAATTCCCTCACAGATGGTGTTATGAGGGGCCTGACGTGGTGTAGTAATTCCCTCACAGATGGTCTTAGAGGACCTCACGTCAGATGTAAGTAATTCCCTCACAGATGGTGTTATGAGGGACATGTGGTGTAGTAATTCCCTCACAGATGGTGTTATATGGTAGGTTTGGTCTTCGGCCTTCCTATCGTAGACGGATTAACACATCGCTGGTTGTTGTTGTTGGGTCTCACGGGCCGTTATCACTGGGTACCTGGGACCTCACTGTGTGAAGGTTAACTTGGGTACGACTGTTGCTGTTAATTCTCACTGACTTAAGCACTGTTCACCTCTGTTTAACACTGGTTCGTTCCTTTCTAAATGAGTGTAACTGGCGAACTTGTTGTGTGTGTGTGTGTGTCTGTGTCTGTGTGTGTGTGTGTGTGTGTGTCTGTGTGTGTGTGTGTCTGTGTGTGTGTGTTTGTTTCTATCCTGAGATAATTTATAGCTTTGTATTCGTCTTTTATCTCCTTTTAGAAGTCGAAAGCTTTAATTTGCTTCTTCCTTAAGTAACTTGAAAACAGACAGACGAACAATGATGAAAAAAAGACAGACAGGTAGACCCAGAAGCGAAAGAGAGAGATAAAAGAGACAGACGAAATAGTGAACGATAGACGATGAGAGAAAGAGATAATGGAAGAAATAGAAAAGACAGGAAGAGGAAAATATGGAGTGAAGGAGGAGAGAAAGACAAAGGAGGTACTAGCTGAACCGCTCTGGCTCTGAGGTGACTTGAAGCCTCTTTCTATTCTCTCCGTGTGTGTGTGTGTGTGTGTGTGTGTGTGTGTGTGTGTGTGTGTGTGTGTGTGTGTGTGTGTGTGTGTGTGTGTTCCTGTTACTTTCCTGTTATTCTGTAACAGTGAGGGCTTATTATTGGCGTGGTGTGTTACTGTTGCCTTCAGGCACAAGAGACGGTGTGTTATTGTTACGTTACTGTTACACTTTAGGCACTACAGGAGTGTGTTACTGTTACGTTACTGTTACCTTCTGGCACTAGAGGCGGTGTGTTATTGTTGTTACTGTTTTTCCTACAGGAGGCGGTGTGTTACTGTTACCTACAGGAGGCAGTGTGTTACTGTTACCTACTGGAGGCGGTGTGTTACTGTTACCCTACAGGGAGGTGGTGTTGGTCTTGCACGAGGCCCTTGGTTGTATCCTCGAGGATTTCATCTCCATTATTCCTCTTCTTTCAGTCTAGTGTTGTGTGGCTGTTGACTCTTTAACATGTGTGTGTCTGTCTGCCTCTTTCTTCTCTTTCCTCTTTCCTACTTCCTTTTACTTCTTTTCTCCACTTCCTTCTTTAATTTTCCTATTTCTTTTCCTCCTCCATTTTTCTCTCTTCCTCTTTCTACTTCATCTTTTTTCCTCTTCTTCCTTTTTCCTCCTCCTCCTCTTTATTCCACCCTCTTCTTCCTGTTATTCTCTCCTCCTCCTCATCCTTTGTTTTATCTTCCACCTCATCTCTTCCTCTCTCCATCTTCTTCATCTTCAAAATTTTATCCACGTTTGAGCTTCTACCACCATCGTCCATTGTCCATTCATATTTTTCCCGTTCACCCACAAATATAAAACATACCTGATAGAACAACACAGGTTTTCAATAGACTTTTGAACCAGTTTCAGAAAATATAAGTTGAAATATACTTGGAAAGCATTTGATATTTTCTGTCAACTTTTCATATCTGGAGACCTTGGAGATATTTGAGAAACCTTGGAGATATTTTGGGAGACCTTTGCATGTTGCCCGAGGAAATTTTTTTAGAACTTTGGGAAGACAGACAGGACTTATAAAGACAGAGAGACCAGAGAGATCTTTTAGAGACCTACAGAGAACTTGAGAGAGAGAGAGAGAGACTTTAGACTTAGAGAAACCTTGAAGAGACCTAAAGAGACCTTTTAGAGACTTAGAGAGACCTAGAGAGAGCTTAGAGGTTAGGGATTGGGTAGGTTCGTTTAGAGTATGTGAAGGGAAGGTTAGGTTAGAGGTGATGTAGGTTAGAGTGTGTTCGTGCTAGGTTAGGGTATGTTAAAGGTAGGTTAGAGTCTGTTATAGGTGGGTTAGGTTAGTGTGTTAGTGTTAGTTTGTGTTAAGGTTAAATTAAGAGTGTTAGTGTTAGGTTAAAGTGTGTTAAGGGTAAAATAAGTGTGTTAGTGTTAAATAAGTGTGTGTTAGGGTTAGATTAGGTTCAGGGTTTGGGTGTCAGCGTGTTCCCCTCACCCGGTCAGCCATAGATAGGTGACCCCGTGATCAGCGCTAGGTATGAGGGGAAATTGGTGTGGATATACCAATTTGGTCTCTTACGTGTGTTGGTATCGCTTAGCTAGGGAGGGGTGGAGGAAGGAAGGGAGGGAGGGTCGGAAGAAGGGAGAGAGAAAGGAAGGGAGGGAGGGGTGGAGGAAGCAAAGCAGGAGGTCGGGCCATGGAGAGAGGAAGGAAGGGAGGGAGGGTCGGAAGAAGGGAGAGAGAAAGGAAGGGAGGGAGGGGTGGAGGAAAGAATGAAGAGAGGGAGAAGGAAGCAAGGGATGGAAAGTGTGAAGAGAAGGAGAAAATACGAAGGAAGGAAGGAAGGAAGGAATGAAGATAGTGGTTGAGGAATAAATGAAAGAAGTCCTTGGAGTGCAAGAGTGCAACCTCGGGGTGAAGTATGTTAGGGTATATCTTGTGGTGAGGGATGACTGGAGGGAAGGTATACTGGTATATCGTGTGCCAAACAGGATATATGAGAGATTATATCAGGGTATACTTTTGAAGAAGACGAGAGTACAGTATATATCATATTACAAGAAGATATAACGAAGTAGAACAAGTTTTTAGGGTATACGAGTGTAGTATATTACTGTGGTGAAGACAAGCCTCGTTATATCCCCTAAAGAAATATAGTTTAATATGCTGGTATATCGGCTGTAGAATTTAAGTGTGGGATATACTACGGTGTTTACTGAGGCTGGGCTGATATGTCAAGGTTCATGTGGCGAGGAATCAAAAGTAGTTATAATGCTCACCCCAAAAAAAAAAAAAATTATAAAAAAGTTTGCCAAAATGTTTACCCAAAAAGTTTATAAAAATGTTTAATAATTTGTGGTTGTATTGATGAGTTATAGGTGATTAGAAAGGTGATGAGTTATTGAGTTGTGAGGTTACAGGGATGAGTTACAGAAGTACAGAAAGTATTAAGAGTTGTTATTGAGTTGTGAGGTTACAGGGATGAGTTACAGAAGTACAGAAAGTATTAAGAGGTGATGCAGTTGCCAGGTTACATCAAAAACAATACAAAACTATTAAAAAAAAATAACCACGACCATGTTTTTAAAGAAAAAAAGAACATGTTAAAATTCCTGGAATATTTAAATATAAACGGATTATAAAATTAAAAACTCGTAGCATTTTTTTTTCTCAGGAAACAAGAAAAAAACAATTTAATCATCCTCTCGTTTTAATAATTCTGTTGTTGTTGTTTTTTTTTGCTGTAAACTTTGACTCGTGTGTGTGTGTGTGTGTGTGTGTGTGTGCGTGCGTGTGTGTGCGCGTGTGCGCGCGCGTATGTTGTGTGTGTCAATACGTATGGTGTGTGTGTG